AAAAAAACCTAACATTCACATACTGAGAGTATATTTCATGTTTTTCTTTACCCACCATTTCAAGTAACAATACTAGAGATGTTAGGGATCAAGACGTGTGACGAATACTTATTAAAGCCAGTTTGAATTTAGTTGAGCCTTAATGTAGTTTTTTTGAACTTATTAGAAAGTTGAGGATTTGATTTGCAAATCAAATCACTAATTTATATATTTTATTTAATTATTTTATTTTATTTTGTTGAGAAAGTGAGGTACGAATAGAAGTTCAAAAGAGCAGTGCTAGGGGCACTCGCCTCCTGCACTCTCCGGCCAACACTTACATTTTTATTGGGCCACGTTATTTTGATTAAAGAGGTTGCGTTTAAAAACTCTAAAGCAAGCTTACGTGGCCCAATGAAGGTGGAAGTGTCGGCCGGAGAGTGCAGGAGGCGAGTGCCCCTACAATTGCTTAATTCAAAATTTTGTGAACTAGACCATTCACTAATTCAAAAGTAAACAGGTTTTGCTGTCGGCTTGCTATAATTGGAACATTTAACAGAATTTTTGGTAGAAAAAAATTATTATTAAAGTATTATTTTTGTAAATAAAAAAATAAAATAAGAATAATATATTAATTTTATTAAAATATAAATGAGAAATTCTTATAAAAATATTAATTTAATAAATATAATATTTACACTGAAATAAAAAAAATAATTTATAAAAAATTATAATATTTTTTCTTATTTATAATGTTTAATGCGCTTGTGCTTTTGAAGCAAAAAACTCTTTTTCTACTAGCTAGCTGTACCAACAGGCATTTCATATGTTTTGACCAGGTCTTACTGCACAATGGGTCTATGTCATAAACCGAACCATTTGTTGGGTAAAAGGGAGAAAAACCATTTCCACAAACATGCCCATATCTCGCTGATCATTGGATCACATACCAATCAGCTCCATGGCTCGCTTTGCTTGCAGGGCTCAGTCTGCTCTGGTCACACCAAGTCCACCGCCATCAGAATCGAACACACTTCCCACGCCTATGACGAGAATAACTTCCACATGCTCTAAAAAGAGAATTGATTATTGCTGATTTGTTGGTGTGATCTAATTCCCTTAAAGATCCTCACGCGCTTGGAGCTTTATTGCGGCTTGCTTCCTGCCGCGACAATACCTTTTTGTGTTGTCATTTTGTCATTTTAAAATTTGTTAGCTCTTGGTTCAGGTATGCGTAGAAGAAAAGAACAAAAAATCATGTATCTTTTTAGTGTTTATGGACGAATTGGATTGCCGTCTTTCAATCATAGGGGTTACCGTGTTGGGTTGGCCTACGGTCTACCCCAAAACAATTTCTCTAGGACTAAATTGGGTCAATATACGCAAATCAGCCTTGTGATTCATGGGTCACGCTTTATAAAATTTATGTTTTAGGTTTGACATTTTCTCATCTTTTAAAAATAAATATTAATATTATTAATATAATTACTACTTAGGAAAAAGTTGGGTCAATATAGAAGAGGTGAGACTCGTAGACTTGTATAATGAAAAAAGCCAAACATTAAAGCTAGACCCATTTTTAATCTATCTAATCATATTTACAAACATGCTCTTTCTTCTTCCTCATCTCCTCTGTGTTGCAGATTTAGAACATGAATTGAATTTTATTTTTCTGAGAATCATACTGAAAAAACAGTAACACAGATTTTCAGAACTCGCCCTCCCCCCTGCCTCGATCTTCCCCTAATTATATTAATAGATACTTTTATGATCTCTTGTGCTCTAGTCTCCCCGCTCCCGGCCCCCTGCCCTCTGTCCATGCCATTGCAGCAACAAGCAGAACGTACAATTCCTTCTCAGTTTAACCAGGTGCCTTCTGTTAATCTCAGCCATTATCTAGCAACAAGTTCCCTGAGCCACATCTTCAACACCATATAGATCGACAATTGCAGGAGCTTCAGCACAGAATGTTGTTGCCAATAGTTCATCCCTAAGTGCATTTTCCAATACTAGTAAGAAGACCGATTTCCAAAACGGCAGTGGCAGCACCGGCAGTAGCCAAAAGACGAAGTTCTTCCTTGAAGAATCATTCTTCACAGCAAAAGAATATGTCCTCACAGCATTACAGTAATTCCTCAAAACATAACCATCAAAGAGGAGGTCGTATGTATCCCAAGAGAACAGTTCTAGTGAATGATCCCACCATAGAATGGTCTTCCAGGGAAAGGAGTCATCAATCCTTGGGTGGAGATATAAGAACTTCCCTGCTTCAGAGATGAAGCAGATTTATGTAGTTAAACAGACCACAAGTGGGACATCAACAACATCATGAGGCAAAAGGGAAAGTAGGTCTCTTGAAAGCCAGTCGAAGGGAGTAACATATATTTACAAAGGAGCCGCCTAGCTCTTCACCTTGAAGATCTATCTTTCTGGTTAATTTTTGTCAAAATCGAGATTTTACCTAAAATCGTTTTGACTAGGTGAAGTTGAAATCATAAAATCGAATCGGTAAAATTGAGATTTTACAAAATTTAA